TGAAGACCACTGTGTTCAGTACTGTGACGTGCAGGTGGGGAAGTGGGCTAGGGCTGGGGTGGAAACTGCTGTTGGCCGAGTGTCTTTTGTTTACCTGTCACTTAAGAAATGAACGAAAAACCTCACTGCCGCCGAGTCGATACCAACTGATGGCGCACCTATAGGAGAGAGGACCAGCCCCCATGGCTTTCTGAGACGCTAACTCTTTTCGGGAGCAGAAAGCCTCATCTTTCTCCTGTGGGCCAGCTGGTGATTTTGAACCACTGACCTTGTGGTTGGCAGCCCAAGGCATAACCCGCTATGCCACCAAGGCTCCAGAAAACCAAACTCACCACACTGAAGTCAAGTCCAACTCATAACGACCCTGTAGGATCCAGGAGAACCACCCCTGCTTGGTTTCCCGAGACGGAATTTTCTTCCGGAGTAAAAAGCCTCATCTTTCTCCCAAGAAGCAGCTGGTTGTGTCTAACTGTTGGCCTCTTAGTCGCAGTCCGAGGCGTAACACAATGCTGCTGTAATTTTGACCTCAACCTTGTCATATGTGTGGCACCTCTGTTTTATATGTAAGGGAACTGAAGCTTAGAGAAATTAAAATCCAGTACAAGTCAGGGCCCACATTTGAGTTCCCGCCTCTCCTCACTCCCCTGTACCCCTACCACTGCCAGGTGTGTAATTATAGAGGCTTGTTGTGGTGAACTGGGTGGGGCTTTCCAGAGAAGATCATCCGTCTTGCATTCAGCAAGTCATATATGTACATTGTTCCGACTCCTCCATTACAACCCCTCAATGGACACTCGCGTGTCCCTTTCTCCTGGAGTCTCCTGTTTCCACTCTTCCTCCTTTCCTCAAACTCCAAACCTTGCACTTGGCCAGCTGTTGCATTTTTTACCTTAAATGATTGAGTACTCTAACAAGGCAATGAGTCCACCTTCTGACCCAAAGGGCAACTAATGGCCAGACAGCCTCTATCCAGCCACTAGCCCTGGTCTCCTGGGTGACTTTGAGTTCTGGTCCATATATTTCTCCGACGTAAGTGTGATCCTTTTCAGAGCAGTTGGGAGGAGTAGCCGGGCACCAGCTAGTTCTTGGGGCTTCCCCAGTCTTTCTTTCTCATTGCTTATCCAAGTCAGCTTCCTGGGTGGTTTTCTCCCCTCCCCATCTCTGGATCCTGATAGGCAATTACTTCTTGAAAGTCCATAGTGTGGTTTGTCTCATCAGGAAACTCTACTTGGGAACTGGGAGGGGGACCCCACCCATAGTGAACTTCATATGGGACACTGCACCCCTGATGGCACTCACCAGGCCTGGTCTTATACCTTTGTATTTGTAAACCTTTCCTTAGGGTCCCAAAGAGTGTCTGTGCACAAGATGTGGGCCTGGCAGACAACACTGCTCACCAGGGGACATCTATTATTCTGTCACTTCTTGTGAAGGTCACAATATCAGTGCCCCGGGGGGGTTGTTCCTGAAGTGTGTGTGCGCACGCACACACACATATATGTGCACACACACATACACCCTGCCCTTCTGTGAGATGATAGACATCACATAGATTATGACCAGACCCGCCCCCTCCTGTGTGTATCCGAGACCAAGTCTATAATCTATTAAATGGCCATATAAAAAAATCTCCCACTGACATTGAGTGAATTCTAACTCATGGTGACCCCATAGGACTGGGTAGGACTGCTTCTGTGGGTTTCCGAGATTAACTGTTTACCAGAGTAGAAACCCTTATCTGATTTCGAACTGCTAACCTTGTGGTTAGCATCCCAGTGCTTAACCACTGCATTACCAGGGCTCCTTATATATATGTCTACATATATGTGATTATGTGTGTATACATATATGTGTGTATATGCATTCATATATACATGCATGTGTGTGCATGTATGCATTGAGTATGTGGGTATGCATATACGTATGTATGTACATATATGTGTATGTGTGTGTTTATATATACACATATATGTGTGTGTGATACACAAGCATAAGCTTTAGGATATCATAGGTAGTTGTCCTTGTACCTGGAGGTGATTTAAAAGAACATCTCACCTCGGGAAGGTCTCTGGGTGGGTCCGATAATTTGCCCTCAAATAGTAACCAACAGTTGGTGGTTCAAAGGGACCATCAGCACAGTGGAAGAAAGGCCAGGTGATCTGTCTCATTGAAGGTCACAGTCACGCACAACCTGTGGGAGGTTCTATCCTGTGACGCCCCGCGATTGCCGCGAGCTGGAATTGACTTGATAGCAGTAGACCTGGGGGGTGGGGAGGGGGTTATGTATTGTATTTCTTTTGCATGTTTAATTTTTCTCCAACTTGTAATAATAAAGCAATTATTTTAAAAAGCCTTGCACGTCTGTGATACAAGGGACTACTTCAAAAAGTTCGTGGAAAGAAGTAGAGACAGGGGCACTCTGAAGGAACAGCGCGAGTTAATAGGAGATGTGAGATAAGTGGTTTAAGTTGTTGGATATAAAGGTGATTAGCTGAAATGTCAACCCACCCACCCAACTACTTTACAATAGATGGGGTTTTTTTTAAGGCTTTTTAAAGCCCTCTTGTAATTATTTCATAAATGATACGTTTCCTCCTCTTTTTCTAGATGGCCATGCCCATCAAAGAACTCGCACGTGTCTGAATGTGAATCCCATGGACCGCAGCACGTTGCTTTTCTTCCTTTCTTAATCATTCAATCATTTATTTGGGTGCCCAAACCCGGGATTGAATATTCAGCTCATTTCTAATGCTGGCCTTGTAGGTTTCAGACATTAATCATCATTTTTAAGCCACATATAAATGTACTGACTGTGTTTTGTATCCCACCCCCCTCCTGTTTCCTCTCCACCCTCTCCGTGCAGTCTGAAGTGTCCTGGATTCCCAACAAACACTACTCGGGGATTTACGGTCTGATGAAGCTTGTCCTGACCAAGACCCTTCCTGCCAACCTGGAGCGGGTCATTGTCCTCGACACCGACATCACCTTTGCCACGGACATTGCAGAGCTCTGGGCCGTGTTCCACAAGTTCAAAGGTAACGTCCCCTGCCTCCCTGCCGTCTTCATAGGCGCTGCCCCGCCAAGCACAGGGATGATGTTTGCTGGTTGGTTTTGCCGTGTGTGCGTTTTAAAGTGAGAACAGGTCAAATGCATTCTTGCTGAGGAAGCGGATACGGAGTTACAAATACTCTTGCCATCCACCAGCCTCGCATCTCTTGGAAACGTGTTCGAGAGAAGCTGGGATTTGTTTGTGTTTCTGTAGAGTCCTGATCTCGGGAGAGAAGGTCGATGCTCAAAGGAAGAACTGAATTTGGGATACTTTGTAACAGATGTATAGCAGCTACACATACTTTGTATACCCATAACTGAATGTCATTGCCTGCTTCCATACTGGTTTGTTCTCTGTCTCACTTGATATCTGGATTGCTGGGGAAATCTGGGAAGGAGGGGAGATGGACACCCATCACTGCGTGTTTGAAAATGTCCATGGGCTCTTGCTTACATGAGCATTGTGATTTGTCATTTTATGCAGCGATGTAGGTTTGGCTTCATAGGCTGTCCTTTCTAGTCTGGTTAGTTTCTGCAAAGTGTTTATTTATATCACTCTTGCTGCGGCCTCAAGGTTTGCAGGAGTATCTGGTGGGATGTTGCAAAGACCCTATGGGAAGGTGACCAGATTTTAACATTGGTAAAGCGGGACACCAGCAGGACACCATTGATAAAACTCATATCCTGGCGAAATAGCCACATGGCAGCCGAAAACCGTATACCCTAGCTTGTTGTGCATTCTTTCCAAAAATTGGGACTTTTTAAAAAATGCCGCGGGACAAATTGTTAAAAAGCAGGACTGTCCTGCCAAAAGCAGGATGTCTGGTCATCTTACCCTATGGGGACTTCGCTGTTGTAGACACAGCAGAGAAGTGGCCAGTTAGCACACCTCCCTGGCTTTCAGTATCAAGATCCCTGGCGATATAGGGGGCTATGTGCTTAGCTGCTTACCCATAAGGCCAACGTTTTAAATCTACCAGCTGCTTCATGGGAGAAAGATGAGGCTACCTGCCTTCTGTAAAGATCTAAAGGCTCAGAAATCAGAAGGAGCAGCCCTGACCCTACCATGTGTCGAGGGTCCGTGGTAGCACAGGTGGTGTGTGCTTGGCTACTAACCACTTGGCTGTGCCAAGCCACTTGGCTGTGCCTGGAGGAAAGGGCTGGCAGCCTGTTCCCAGAAAGGTGGTGGAGGATGTTTGGTTTTTGCCACTGAGTCAAATCTGACACAGGACAACCCCGCCCTAGAAAGCGCTCTGGAAGGCAGTTCTTCTCTGTAACACACTAGGCTTCCCCCGAGTCAGGGTTGTCTCCACTGAGATTGGGCTTGAATTTGTGCCAGCGTGTCAGGCAGTGTGCTGGGCTCTGGACTGAATGTGTTCTACGAGGGGCAGCGAGTGCTGCAAGACACAGTGAGCGTCACTGTCTCACGTGGACGGCATCACGGAGAAGGTGAGGGGTGTACTTCGTCTTGGTGGGACAGGTGTGATGGGCACACAGAAGCCCCTGTGGGAAGTAAGGGCTTCCTGCTTCCACTGCTGGAGTGCCGCCTGCAGGTGGCCTTCGGTTATCAGTTTCAGCGAGTGAGGGGCTGCACCGTGGCCAAGGTCATGGCCCCATACAATACAAGGGTGAGGCTCCTGTAGGGACCAGCTGAGGCATTGTCAAGGATTTCATTTCACTTTAATTCACAATCAGCACCCATGGAGGCAGCGTTCACGAAATCCAAGGGCTGCTTCCAAAGACCTTTTTAAAGAGAACTGCCATGCATCTGACCCAATGCATGTAGGATGGTTAGGTTTTTTGTTTAATCATTTTAGTTGACATATAATTAGCATCGCATACAACTCAACGGT